CGGTTGGTATATATATATATATATATATATATATATATATATATATATATATACCAACCGGTCGTCAATCGAGAAGATTCCAGGAATAGTAAATGTCATTCATAGATAAATTGGAGCCGTACAGTGTGGTTGAACGAGATAACCAGTGTTCTAAAAATCACAACAAAGGAGCCAGCCAGACTAATTAAAGTAGATCATCATCAAATTACCTGTAATCTTGTTAGACTTCGTTTTTTCCTGGCAAAACGCACAGACACGCTTCGGTGTCCAACAACAAAGTTGTGTACTCCGAATTCTTGCAAATCATTCCTTAAAGTTCTCAATTTTGAAAACGTGTAAAGGAATGTGAGCAATGTTGAACTGCCTTTATGTGTGCGTCAATTGTTTCTGTCAACCGATGCACTCGATCCACGTTATCAACTTTGAGCTTCTAGCTCCTGATCTCCACTCGCTGACTTCCTAAGCTAAGAAGCCAAAAAGTGCTGCACGGAAGTTGTATTCAAGGAAGTATGCAGATGTAATACACCCCCGGGGAAAAGGTGTCCCTTATGTACTCATGAACTGGCCCTGAGTGTTCTAGAATATGTTCGCGAAAGCCGTTATTGGAACGGGTCAGGACAATAAGATTGAGTGAATTGGGGACTCACGTGACTGCTCGTACATTCCACGAAATCCCTAGAACTTTCAGTGGATTCTTAGTGGTCCATTCCGTTTTTTCTCCACGGAAGTGGTTCGATTTTCACCAAGACTTGTCTGACAAATGACATTATCTAGCCCATCCCTTATCATACAGTTGATGCCCGTACGTAAAGTTGATTTGAAGACCTTATTTAAATTTGATACCCTCGGAGGTTAAGCGAAGCTGAATGCTACCAGGCGCTTCCCCGGGTTGTGGATAGGGGGATCCCTATACCGAAGAAGGTTAGGTGTGAATAATTTGTGGTATACCGCAACAAATAAGCAGTCGCGAACAAACTGCGGCGGCACCACCATGGCGTGGTGGGTTTCAGGCTGGTCATCTGGCTCCTGTTTAGAAGCCGCATAAGCCCAGTGACAGTGTCGTGGCAAAGGTCGATGTGACTGGCCTTTTAAAACTAAATTCATTGACCCCCTCACTTCCGAGGCGGGGGATTACTTCGTGCTGTCTTGCAGTTCGCACTTGGTTGTGCAAAGGCTAGAGGTGCGCCCTCAAAATAAACGAAAAAACGCCGAGTGACGCTGTGGACGTCTCTCGTACCGAACTCCCTAGGAACTCCATAATCTTGATCATGATCATGTCTGGACCCGGCTTATCCTCTCCAAGGAGCCAGCCGCAGTAAAGTAAGTAAGTAAGATAGCGGTCCATTGTGGTTGACATCAGAAAGAGGGAATTCGGTGTCCTACTCTTTGGGCTTATGATCATTGGATGGTCATGATGATGTTAACGGGTAATAATTATTCTTGAAATTGTTCTCTACAACCCAGTTCATCTTTCGGATGACCATAGAACTGAACTGAATATCGTTCGTACATCCGGTCGTATCATTTGTACATTGTTTCCTTCTACTCCTTGTATAATACGAAAGTTCTCACCTTTATTATTCCATTCTTATATTTATCAGTTTGTGTTCCCAATATAAAGATTAAGTTATAACACTAGTGCATTAGTCACTAAATTTGCCAGATGATCTTTTGAATCATTCATCAAATCAACACGCAATACTTGCTCTCGTACTCCACACACATAGGCCGAGTTCATTATTGAGGGCGCGCTTAAACTACAAGATGATCAGACCGCACCACCTACTTCCATGCTCCAAGCAAAACGACCGGTTCGGGCGGAGGATGAGAGCAGTGCGAACGCACGTCTACTCGAAGCACTAGCGGCCGAGGCCGCGGCTGTCCAAAGCGAATCGAACGGTGCCCCACTACGTCACAGTGTCCAACAACAAGAAACCACTCAAGGTATAGATACGGCAGTCACCGTGTCCACCATTGAGGATGAGGAGGAGGAGGCCGAGGCAAAGGAGATCGCTGACTCCTACGCAGCTAACGCGCGTGTGATTGAGCAGGAGATGATCCGACGGGGTATTATCAAGCGTCGTCTAGTGGAAGAGGTTAGTCATAATTCAAGCTATTTCATCCGAATTTTTTTCCATTTTCGATGATGTAAGAGTGCCGTTGTTATCTCACCATTACTCACAAGCAACTGTGAGGCAAATTTGAAACGGCGGAGAGCAATAAATAATTGCTATAGTATAAAACACTTATGAATAGATGTACCGTGCTCAGAATATATATATATATATATATATATATATATATATATATATATATATATATATT